CTCTCTACAGCTTCCTTTCAGGTACTTGTACAGAGCTCTAAGGTCGCCCCTCAGTCTCCTCTTCCCCAGACTGAACAACCCCAGCTCCCTCAGCCTCTCCTCGTAAGACTTGTGCTCCAGACCCCTCACCAGCTTCGTTGCCCTTCTCTGGACCCGCTCCAGCACCTCAATGTCCCTCTTGTGGTAGGGGGCCCAAAACTGGACACAGTACTCGAGGTGGGGTCTCACCAGTGCCGAGTACAGGGGGATGATCACTTCTCGGGCCCTACTCACCACACTGTTCCTGACACAGGCCAGGATGCTGGTGGCCTCCTTGGCCACCTGGGCACACTGCTGGCTCCTGTTCAGCCGACAGTCGACCAACACCCCCAGGTCCTTTTCTGCCAGGCAGCTCCAGCCACTCTGCCCCCAGCCTGGAGCGCTGCAGGGGGTGGTTGTGACCGAAGTGCAGGACCCTGCACTTGGCCTTGTTGAACCTCATCCCGTTGGTCTCAGCCCATCCATCCAGCCTGTCTAGATCCCTCTGCAGAGCCTCTCTACCCTCCAGCAGATCAACATTCCCACCCAATTTGGTGTCATCTGCAAATTTACTGAGGGTGCACTCGATCCCCTCGTCCAGATCATTGATAAAGATGTTGAAGAGAACCGGCCCCAGTACTGAGCCCTGTGGGACACCACTCGTGACCGGTCGCCAACTGGACTTCACTCCATTTACCACCACTCTCTGGGCCCGGCCCTCTAGCCAGTTTTTAACCCAGCAGAGAGTATACCCATCCAAGCCATGAGCACCGAGTTTCTCCAGAAGAATACTGTGGGACACTGTATCAAAGGCCTTGCTAACCCCAACCCCCAACCCCTACCGTTCTGTGATTCTTCAAGGTGACGCTTTTGCTTTAGAGCAGTTGATAGTATATATCACTTTTTGTTGAGGGAGATATGGGAAAAATAGGGAAAAGGAAAAAGATAGGGGAATACTTTCAGACATACTTACATCAAATAGGAAAATAAGCTTATTACATGCGTCTTCCCACTGCAATTCAATCAGTATGGCATTTGATGGTAATTTATCTTTGTATACTAATTAGGTAGTCACTTCTTGGAAAATGTCATGGAAAGATTGCATTTATTTGTTTTCCTAGCAAATGCTCTCCGTCACATCATTTGCTAAATATTAATTTTTCATAATTTATCTAAATGTTCATTGGATTTCACGTATTTTTCTTCTTGCATATTGCTCTACAGCTGATGGTTAATACCAGCCTTGGGTTAACTTCCCTGCTTACGCTTGTGATTTTTTTAAGTAGCTAAATATTCTCTAAGATATCCCAGGGCAGGACTTCCTCTGTGGATGCATCCTTTTACCCAGGATTACTGTCATGGTTTTCCTTTTTCTGTCTGCTAGGTGAATGATGATGTTGGAATTGACTGGACTAACGAGAACGACCGCTTGCTGGTTTGCCAAATGTGCATCAAACTGGCTGACATAAACGGGCCTGCAAAGTGCAAAGATTTGCATCTGCAGTGGACAGAAGGCATCGTCAATGAGTTTTATGAACAGGTAAATAAAGGCATGTCCAAAGTGGTATCTGCTGGTTCTGTATCTTGTGTTAAACAGCCCTGCAGCATGCTAGTGCTGGTGATGAGTGAAGATCACAGAGAAATAGCAGTGAAAGGGATGGCTAGAGTTACACTAGTCCTTCCTTCTGCTGGGTCAGCGAATGTCCATTTGCACTGAAGCTTCTGATGTGTTCTCAAACACCTCTGATAATGGGGTTTCTACAGGTCTAACTGTTCCAGTCTGGTACTATCCTTACAGTGGACACGACAAAAAAGTGTTCCTTTCCTCTTTTTTTATTTTTTTTTTTTAATGTTGGCAGTCATCATGCCTTCCTTTCAGTCTGATTTAGGATAAACTATATTTTATCCTTCCTTCTATATCTTTTCAAGACATCAGCTGGTTCTCATTGCTCTCCTCTGCAGTCACTCCATGTGGCTGACACTTTTACTGACCTGTGGTCTCCAAAACTTGACACCACATCCTTGTTGAGATGATCTAAACAGAGCAGAGGAATTATCTTAGCTTCACTGTGGGCCACATCTCTGGTCACACACACAGAACTTTTGTATTTACAGAGCATAATTGTAACATTGACTTTCAGTTTATTACAGACTAACCATATCTGCTCCTCCTTCATGTTGATCCTGACTCATACTTTATTTTTTAAGACAACGCTTTCAGCTTTCAAAACATTTGTCAGTACAACTGCACTAATTATGCAAGGATGGTAGCACGAAGGAGGAGGGCAGCCACAGATTGATTTACAAAGACCTGGGAATACAGCCAGGCACTGCTCCTCTCCTGCCAGGTGTAAGGGAGCCCTTAATTGAACCTTTTCTCATTATAACCTCTTTAGCCCTGCCGAGTGCAAGGAACAGGGCTGTTCCCACACTATTCCTCTGTTTCCTGAGTGGGAACGTGTTTTGAATGTGCTCCACATCCTGTCTTTTCAAGAGGAAGCAAGCAGGCTAAATCACTGAACCAAACACCCCACAGACTTCTCAGGGAGGCTATGCAGTAACTTGAAGTCACAGAATAATCTCTTTTAAAGCCTTTTCATCTTCCCTTAAATTTACTGTATTTATAGTTTGGACAAAAAAATGGATTTTCTGCTGCTGCCTTCTGGAATATGTAAAGAAATGGGGAAAGGGACAAAATTCAGACAGTGACCTGAAGCTCCTTCATTTATTTCAGATTTCCTGAGAAAAAAAAAAGAATAATGACCCTTACATATATAGTTGATTCCATTTTTCTTTTCATTTTTTCTTAAAGAAAGAAAGAGAGTCCCATGACAGCAGTGGTCAACCTTTCTCTCCCAGAATTTCTTTCAGGAAATGCTTTTCTTCATATTTGTATGTTTTCTTTACAACTCTCACAACAAATTCTACTTCACTTAATTCTGGAGATTATTATACCTTATGTGAATGACTACTGCATGGGGGCAAAACCTGTTAGTCAGACATATGATGTGACTCTCCTTTGATCCAGCATAACTATGTCAGAGGGCAGTAAGTGCCCCACTATGTTAATAACTTCAGAGTTTTGGGTAGTGAGCTCTGAATCTAGGTTTGGAAGAACACATGTGAGAGGACACTGCGTTTTCTGTTCCATTATAGCTATCTGGGTTATTTTCCATCAGTCACAATGGTGTGCTACTAATGTTTTCATGCTTTTGGAAGCTGCTCCAAAGGACTCTTGGAGATTATCTCTCCTATAATCCTGTAATTTAAAAAAAAAAAAAACAAAACCCAAATATTTGGGATTTATCCTCTGCAAATTTTTGATTCGGAATCATGGGCAAATGTATTTGAACTCTTGGCATGCAAATTTCAAGAGGTCAGGTAGTCAGTAAGATATTAGAATTTTTGGGTTTTGTTTTAACAGAAGATGTGTATTCACTATATTGAGAAATCAATACATCCCCGTGGGTTTCCAGTTTTTGGTTTTTTTGCATGACATGAGTTGCTATGCTGACAGGGCACTTGATGGGGTTGAAAACAGTGAACATTTTCTAAAAAAAAAAAAAAAAAACAACAAACGTTTGGGATTTATCCTCTCTGCAAATTTTTGATTCGGAATCATGGGCAAATGTATTTGAACTCTTGGCATGCAAATTTCAAGAGGTCAGGTAGTCAGTAAGATATTAGAATTTTTGGGTTTTGTTTTAACAGAAGATGTGTATTCACTATATTGAGAAATCAGTACATCCCCGTGGGTTTCCAGTTTTGGTTTTTTTGCATGACATGAGTTGTATGCTGACAGGGCACTTGATGGGGTTGAAAACAGTGAACATTTTCTTCCTAGGACATACTTTTAGCATTAAGGAGGATAAGCTAGATTCTCAATTTTTTTAACCTAGCTTAAAATTTCATTTTCTTAAATGTAATATGCTATGAGAGGTGTATCAAACCATCTTCACCATGTTTTTGATCATCACGTTTTTTCTGAGAAGGGAGAAGTCTTAATTTTCTCATTTCTAAAAAGGATAATTTTATGGGGAGTTTGAATTTCCCTAGGATTGTTGTCAAAGAGCGTACACATGTACATTCAACCTATGCTGTGAAAATAATGAAATATCTTTCTTGAATTTCCTTTAATAAACACCAATTCCTTTGAAGAATTTAACTCCCATATAAATAAAAACTCCTTATTAAAAATGTGTTGCACAGAACCATTCAAAATCCTTTGTCATATTGTTGCAGTATGTTTCCTTTTCATCCCTCCACATGCTGGGCATACTTATTTGAAAACAGGTTAGACATATTAAAAAGAATCAAAAAACGCACTGTAAAATGTTTCACATAATAAATCATGTTTTAACGGAACATGAAAAAAGAACTTGTAAACATTTCAGTTGTCAGCTTTTTTCCCCCTACTGACAGCTCACAAGTAGGACATCTCAGATGTGTTACTGTAAAGAAGAGCAATCGGCCACCCCTTCCTAATTTGCTTACTATTTAAAGAATGGGTGGCGTGTTTCAGTGTTTTGTTAACAATAGTATTTTGTGTTTAATGATTAAACATAACATTTCAGGGTAGGTTATTATAAAAGTGTAAAGCGAAATACAAGGAAATGAGACATCTGTTGTACACATTTCAAAATTTAACTCTGATTCTTTGGCTTTCCCAGATATCACCAAGGTGTTGACCAGACACGTTGCCCATGAATTTTGGAAAAATTGGGTCACAAGGAGATAAATTTGGGCAATCTGGAATATAATAGAAATGGAAAACATCTCTCTTAATTCTAATGTATATTGTCAAATATAGGTCTTTGTATTGTATTAAAACATCAACTTGCATATCAGGCTTGATTAGGGGGAGTAGATTTTTCTCTTGGGGAGGTGGTAGCCAGTCTTGACATTTCTACTCAGCTGAAAACTCATTGATGTCACCAATAGCTTTGCTGCGATAGGGATGTTTGTGCAATAAAGTTTCACCTTCTTTGACATCATGAGAGGAGGGAAAAAAAACTCTTCCTATACCTCCCCTCTACCTTTTCTCCCCAAGAGAAGCTCACAAAAAGCTTTATGGGAAAGATTACCGCTTCTGAGTAACCCCTGCTTTCACAGGGATCGTTCTAATAGTCCCAGGAACAAATACTTATGACTCAAAAGCAAGAGGACCTCTCCATCTTATATATAGTAAGGACAAAATTCAGAAGAAAACTAGTTCAATGAGATAGCCCGTGCTTATAGAAGCTCAGTCTCGTTCCCTGCAAACAGATGGCTGACTGCAAGGTTGTTGTGAGCTAGCAATCACAAAATCAGAAGGGATTTTTTGAAAACGATGTGAAGAAAGACAGAAAACAATAATTTTCAAACTTTCACACACACACGGCGTAAAGTACAGGACCCCAGGGCGGTGGGCATCGTTTTGCAGAGTCATCAGCTGACATCCTTGTTACATTCACACTGGTGGTAGTGAGTCCTCTTACAAGAAGAGCTGTAACTTCCATTAACCATTTGGCGTGATGACACTGTGGTGAGTGAGTCCTCTTACAAGAAGAGCTGTAACTTCCATTAACCATTGGGCGTGATGACACTGTCATGCTGGCGTGCCATGGAAGGGGCATTAGAGTTGAATTATTTTTCTTTCATCGTTTTTAATTGGTTTGATGTGCGTTGCTCCTTTTCGTGACACGGCTTTGTTTCATTTACTTCAGAGAAATTACCGTTATTTTTCATCTCCAGGGTGATGAAGAGGCTAGCCTGGGCTTGCCAATCAGTCCTTTCATGGATCGCTCTGCCCCCCAACTGGCACACCTCCAGGAATCTTTCATCACTCACATTGTGGGACCACTATGTAACTCCTATGACTCAGCGGGGCTGATGCCAGGAAAATGGATAGAAGATAGTGATGAATCAGGAGACACTGATGAGCATGAAGAGGAAGAAACAGCAGAAATGGAAACTTGTGAAAACGCTGAATCCAGTAAGTTCTTCACATGTTTTTCAACAGAGCAAGTTCCATGTTGTGACCAAAAAAATGTTGAGCCTGTGAGCTGGGCAGGTTGAACACGGGCCTCTCCAGAGTAAAAGTGATTCAGTGCTGTCCTTGGTGAAGCTGGCATGTAGCCTGACACATTAGTGATGGAGATGCTCCGTGGTTTCAGGACTGATACTCATTGTTGTTCGTATCTACTACTCATTTCTGCCTTCAGTAGAGGCTTCTGGGGGTGGATCACCCATCTGTGCATGAAGCCTTTTTAGATTGCTTCCAGCACTAATGTTAGTAGACTGTAACAATTTCACTTGAAGAAAGACCTCATTGCCCTCTACAGCTACCTGAAAGGAGGTTGTAGAGAGGTGGGTCTTGGCCTCTTCTCCCAAGAAAATAATGACAGGACCAGAGGAAATGGTCTGAAGTTGGGGCAGGGGAGGTTTAGATTAGATATTAGGAAGAATGACTTTCCTGAGAGAGCGGTCAGGCACTGGAACAGCCTGCCCAGGGAGGTGGTGGAGTCACCATCCCTGGAGGGATTTAAGAGACGTGTAGACATGGCACTTCAGGGCATGCTCTGGTGCCTGGGATTGTTGTTTTGTGTCTGTTTGTGGGTTTTTTTGGTAGTTTGGTTTGTGTCTGTTTGTGGGGTTTTTTGGTAGTTTGGGGTTGGGTTTTTTTTGTGGTTGGACTCAATGATCTCAAAGGTCCCTTCCAACCATGAAGATTCTGTGATTCTGTTGGGAGAAGATTTTGAAAGGAAAGCACTTAACATTTGAGTTAGCATGATGTCCAAGAGTAATACAATGAGGCTCTGAGGTGCTGATGCTGTAAAAGTTTTTAGCAATGGAAGTATTTTAATGCAAATCTTTTAAAGGTAGTGTAGGAAGGAGCGGGGAGAGAATCAAGAATCAGCACTGAGCGTCGCTGCTTTATGTGCTGGGAGCTGCATCTCTTGGGCCTTCTGGCTAGTCAAGATTCTGTTGGGAGAAGATTTTGAAAGGAAAGCACTTAACATTTGAGAAGATTTTGAAAGGAAAGCACTTAACATTTGCATGAATTAGCATGATGTCCAAGAGTAATACAATGAGGCTCTGAGGTGCTGATGCTGTAAAAGTTTTTAGCAATGGAAGTATTTTAATGCAAATCTTTTAAAGGTAGTGTAGGAAGGAGCGGGGAGAGAATCAAGAATCAGCACTGAGCGTCGCTGCTTTATGTGCTGGGAGCTGCATCTCTTGGGCCTTCTGGCTCTCTCCTGCCTCTCCTCCAGAAGGGCAACAGTGCCAACATTTGTCATACTGAGAAGAAAACTTTGTACCTTTAAGGAGACCTCAGGGACTTGTTGGAAGTGATATTTAAGAGAAAAAGCTGCAGTTGTAGACCTGTCTTTTGCCAGTTTAATACCACACACATAGCCCTTTCTTTTATTTAGTGTTCCTCCTCCCTCTGAATTTCCTACTGCTGTTCTTTTATTTCCTTCTTCAGGTTGTCTTCCTTTCTCTCCCCTCTGTCTAATACTTCTAGAAAGTACCAGGCTTAAGTGAGCTAGTGAAATACTGAAACGTGACTTTTTCACTAGCAGCCTCACTTTTTCTGTTGGGAAAGCTGAGAAGTGGAAAGATGTGATGATTGCAGTAACTCATGTTAGGGTGTGAAACTAAAATTTATGTCTCCTGACATGCAGAATTGACCTTTTATCTCTAGTAAGATTCAGAAGTAGTTAAGAAATCATTGCTGCTGTTCATATGCACGCACTTGCACGTAAGTTTAGTAGGTTCACATGCACAAAAAAATGTTATTGAGAACAGCCAGGATTAAATAATATAGCACACACAGGTTTATTTTAGCACCCTGTAATCTGTCAGCTCTGTATTAGCAGGCAGAGCCACATGTTTTTGTGGCAGATTGGCGTTCATGGAATTGCCTGTCACAGGGAAAGCTTATGTGATAGGTGACCAGCATAGACCCCAAAGCACTGAAACTGATACTGCTATATTAAATAAGAAGATGAAGGATGTTCTCGTTTATCCATTGCAGTGCCTAACCTTACTTTGAAATCCTTAGTCTCCTCTTTTCTATATTCATTCTATAGAATATAGAAATTTCTATATTCCCTTGTCTTTTCTATCACTGCTAGTCAAGTCCAACAACGCTGCTTTTCAGGTTGAAAGCACAGACCATTATTAAACCATATTATTGAAAACAGACCATGTTCTAGTTATCTTCTGTTTTCTCTTTTACATTCTACTCCATGACAGTACCTTACTCTGCAACCAGGTGCTTTTAGGCACTTTATCCTTTTCAAAACCTTAAAAATGAATGTATCAGAAGTTTTGAGATATCCAAACAAATTCTTCATATTTCCTTCTTACCAAATGTGGGGTGTGCATCTTCTTAGTCAACATGTTACAAACTATTTTCTTCCCGTTCCCTAAATTCTCTGTGACTGTGTGAATCTGAGTCAGGGATCTGGGGCATCTTTTGTGTTGATTAGAGGGGTCTTACAGGTTGTTAGAAATTTATACCTATGATCAACGCAATTTTGATTGTTTTAAACTTTTGTGATGAAACAAAACAAAAGGTTGAGATGTCAGATGCATAGAAACTAAGAGTTGTGTAGATGTTGGTGAAGATCTTTTTCTTGATGGAAATGCCTTTTAGGAAGGTGGAAATATAATTGTAACGGAAAATGCTTCACACAGGTCCTGATAATTCACTACAGCCGTTGAGATAAATTTAGGAGTTCTAAAAACATACGATAGCTTAAAATCAAACATTGGTTTTGTTATTATACAGGAGCATGTAATGCTCCCCAAATTCGGATGTGAGTATAAGAATTAAAGAGGTTCTGCCTGTAGTGATTCTGACAGATTTTAACACCACGGCGAGCGCTCGCTGGTCTCTGCAGAGAGCAGCAAGATGTGGGGTCACCCAGGAAACCCAGGAGAGAATGTCCTGCGGCGGCACTGGCAGCGTAGGGGCTTCTTATTAGTGCTAAACCTGAAGGTTTCCTACAGGGAACCAAGGGCTTTCTAATGAAGGATTGAGTTGGATTTGGTTTGTGCTCAGTGAAAAGCTCTTTGTTTCCAGTTCAAAAGCTTCAAGGGCTAAACGTTTTGGATCCTGACACAGACATACTTTAGGCAACCTGCAAATACTAATACACACAAATTTATTTGGTACAAAACATTCCTCTACGTCACTTTCTTTGAAAAAGGAACCAGCAGTTGTCTTTCGAGGGGTTATTTTTTCAGTTCTGTGACTGCCGTTGCCGCTGTTAATGACCAGGGAAAATTTTCAAGCTTTGTCCTGTTCAGGACTTAACAGTCTGCGTTGGACAGACTGCACTGACACAGAAAAAACCCCACACTTCAGACAGCAAAAAACACTTGTAGTGCAGCTCTCAGGAGCCATGAGAACTACCAGCAGCAAAGACATTGTACAGGTCAACAGCAGGGGACTGGTGCTTCAAAACCAAGGAGGAGTGAGCTCCCTGATAACACTTAGCTCTATGGCTACTTCAGGTCTCAGGTTCGGTTTTAAGGGCATCCCCGCTGTGATGGCAGAGCGGTAGATCTTCGACTTTGAAAAGGGAGCATAGGAATGGGTTCCCTCCTTTGATTGCTAATTCTTGCTCAGTCATTTTCCTTCTACAGCACAGCTCAGATCAGATGTAAATTGTGGAGAAGACAAAATCAGGATTGGTTTTTTTCTAGGGCAATCAGCAGGGATCCATTGCCGGGGGGAAGGGGAAGTGCAGAATTTAATGTGTGTGTTATGGAGCAGGTTGATCAGAGTCTTTAAGTACTTGATATAAAAAAAAAATTAACAGAAACAGCTCAGCAACATGTTTTCTGCATAACAGTTCAAGCACTAGCTGTCTGTGTGAGCTGCGTAGTCAGGGACCCCATGCAGCCTATGGTAGGATGAAGCTGGGGCTCAAACTGTGCAGGAAAACAGTTTGCTTTCCCAGAGGTCTGGAGGGGCATGACTTTCTGAATTTCAAGACTGTTTAGGTTTATGGTTTTAAAAATCAATTCCCATATGTCATAGTACACCCTGTCTGCTTCCTACACCTTCAGTCCCTTTCCTTCTTTCCTCACACCAAACAGCACGTTAATGTCACGTGGTATTTTACAGGAAAGAAGAAGTTCAAGAGGAGGAAAATCTACTGTCAGATCACCCAGCATCTGCTTCAGAACCATAAAATGTGGAAGAAAGTGATTGAGGATGAGGAGAGGTTAGCCGGGACAGAGAAGCAAGGCGTGGAGCAATCCACCCTGCACCAATCTTCAGAACAAATCCAGGCCATCAGGGAAGAGGAGGAGGAGAAAGGGAAGCCCAAGAGGGATGAAGAGGAGAACACAACTGTAGAACCGAACCAATGACAATATTTACAGCAGTATTTTAAGACAGATTGACTCGTGCACAGACTCTTTCTCAAGCCAGCACAGCATTTAGACACAACACTGTAGAAGTATGGGATAATGCGCCTACAGCTGTTTAATTTGTTTCTCTTTCCTTTTTATGGTGAGGTACATTGTTTAAACTCCTATGCTCAAGGAAGCTTTCACACTGCGACACCGGCTTTTACAGACTTTCTTTTAAAAAGATTTGGGGGTGGGTGAAATTATATAAATATATATATAGCCAGGGTTATTGCCTGTGCACTTCAGCAAAATACATTTAATGATATATTATGGTCACTGTGATATTTACAGAAGAAAGTTATCTAAGGAAATGCTGCTTCTAAAGCACATTTGCAGTTAACAGTAAGGTACCAGTTAAGTAGCTTTTGCTCTTAATGCTGAGGGATAAAAGTTCCAAAGCTTTATATGAATGCTGATACGTCCTGCCAACATACATATGGGTGCGTGTGCGGGGGTGTTTGCGAGTGTGAGTGGGTGCAATGTAACAGAGCATAGTTTGAGTTCTTATTTAGACCAGCTGTAGCACGTGTCCCCATACACGACGACAAACAGAAGGCCTGAATTTTAGGGACTACGTGCCCACAGGGGAAGCAGAGACCATTTTGAGGAGCTTTCTGCTCCCCATAGTCCTCCTCCTCCGGCCGGTTTGCGCTCCAGCTGCAGGCCGCAGCCTTCCAGCGGGGGCCACGAGGCGAAAAGGGATGTGCCAGGACATCTGTGGTCCAAAGGGGGTTATACGAGGGACAGTGTGGCCTGTTCCCCTCCAGAGGACCTGGCCCTCTGTGTACTTTTGAGTGTGTGGGGCAGCGTGTGTGTGTTTGGGCAGGAGAGAACAGGGAGCAAACGAGGGGCACGCTGTCCTCTCCCCACCCTAACCCTAGGCCTCCGTGCAGCGGTGGCCAAACACAGCATTTCGGAGCGAAGCTAAACTGCCATCTCTTGAGAGCAGAAGAAGGGGAGCGTGGGGGCCATGCCTTTCCTCAGAATAAAAGGCAAACGATGCGTTAGGAGCAGGGTGGGGGACCGGTGCCCATCCCGCATCGGCCGGACACTGGTGTGTCCCACCAACCACTCACACGAGCTTCAGAGAACTTGGTTTTTCAGTGTGAGGTGCTGGATGGGAGCAGTTTGTTGCTGGCATCCTGCTTAGAAGCAGCATGTTTGATCCCACCGATATACTTACTTTTTTTTTTTTTTTTCTTTTTTGCTTTTATTTTTTTTAAGAGAAAGGAAAAGATCGGGCCTGTAAGAAGAGCAGATCTTTTTTTGTTGTTGTTGTTGTTCTGTTTATTTGTTTTCTCTGTTGTTTATGCTGTGAGCCAAATGTCTATTTAAAAGGTTGGATATTCACTTTCAATATTTTATTTCACGATATTATATTTGTCAATGATTAGCTATCTAGATGTAAATATGGAAAAATTTTTATGGGTTCCTGTAGATAATGATATCTTTAAGAGAAAAAAAAAAAGAAAAAGAAAAAAAGGGGAAAGTTTTTTTGTAAAGCTAATTTTTTAAAAAATAAATACAAAAACATTTTTATACAGTGTAGCCATTTCCAAACCCAGCAAACAAAGTCTTGAGTAATTGGTGTAGACCTTTCTGGGAAGCCAGTGGTCTACAGGATCAAGGCTTTAAAATATTAATGCTCCTTGGGACTGGCAGCACTAACCAGTACCACACGATTTAGAGTTTTGTTCCCACAAAAAGACGTATATATATAAAGTTCAGTATCTCTCGAAAATCATTTGACTGCGTATGCTTTTTATATTTTGATCCTGCAGCCCCTTGCTAAGAAGAGGATTGCTTGTGTAAGAATGCTTGTGAAAGGAAGAGTTTGTAGGAGAAGTCCTTTCTATATCAAATGTCTGACATTGCAGCCATCAGTTTTTGCTGTTGTTACGCATTCACCATATTTCATGGTGCAATTGATCCCTTCCCAAAAATGTTGGAAAACTTTCTCTATCAAAGCCAAGCAGCAAGTGTGTTGTCACTTCCGAGTTTCTTTTTTTTGCTTTGCATTTCCTTTAGAGTGAACTTTTTCTGGAAAATGGCATTTTGGTTTCTTACAGATTTCATTTGCCTGATGTCGTCCCATCCTACTCTTACCAGAATAGAAGGCGTTTGCCTTTCGACAGAGGGACTCTAGAGCGTGGCTCTGAATGCTCTCTTACCAGCAGAAATATTTAATAAGTGTTTTTCGATGAAATCAGAAAAGCAAAGTTCCAAATTCCACTATTATTTCAGAGGGAAAAGATCTAGTAGAATTCATTCAGAAGAAAAAAGATGTCTCCAAGATCTCAGCAAGGCTCCACCAATTCCAGCTTGTTTTCACACCTCTTCAGTCACTTTGATTAATCATTTTATCTGGTGTTTTCTTGTACAAGTGATCTGCATACCTTAAAGCATGAGAAGAATTTAATATGCCTCATTCTGTCCTTTAAAAATTAAACTTGCAGAGATGCTTTAAAATATCACATTTCCAAGCACTTTTTTCTCCGTTTTTAGTGCATGATCACTGGGACTGGATTTTTTTATATTGATTTTTATATTGTCTTTGCTAGAAGAAGAAAAAAAAAAGAAGTTCTTGCAGAAAGTGTTAGTGGGTGCTCAGTTGGTAAAATTATGAAGAGTCATTCAGGAATGAGGCCAGATCCTGCAAGTGGAGTTCCACATGATCCTCCAAGCAGGCATACCCAGGGTTGAACCAAGAAAAATTATTCTAGAAGTGTTCTGAAATGGAATTATTACATTTTTCCTAGTCCTCATTTTTGGTTGGCCATCGGGTAAAATCAGTGTCAGCTTGTAATTTGTTAAGCTTTCTTTCTGTAGTGCCAATGCAGCTGTCCCAAATGGCTGCTGCATTCGTTGCTCCACGAGCCTGTTTGTGGGTGCAGTTTGGTTAACTCAGGTCATTTACAGTGAAGGAATTGCTCAAAATCGGAATGGTTGTTGATTTTATCCAAACTGGAAGGAACACCGGTGAAGAAGCTGAAGTAACTGGGAGTGGTTCTTTTCTTTTCTTTTTTTTTTTTGTACTCCATATAGTTCCTAGTAGAATCCAATTTCTGCAGGTGTCCACTCCGTATGAATCTGATTTTCAGTCTTTGCAGTGCATTTCTGGCAGGCAATGATCAGGAAATTTCCCAGACTGGCTTAAATATAACACAAAAGAAAATACCAGAGAGAAACATGTGAATACCATATTATTTTTTTTTTTGTGCTGGGTTTTTTAGTAGATAATGAAGCAGGTAATTTTTTAGGGTTTTTTTAATAATAATTTTGAGTCCAAAAGAGGCAAAGCTTTTAACCTGCAGTTGCAGCAACCTTTTGGAGGCTAGAACTTGATGGTTGTCATCTTTGTACAGTCTTTTGGTGATGCAAACCCCAAAGAAACCACAGACGGTGCAGTATTTCTGGGGAAAAAAAATACTAAAAGAAAAAGAATTGTGTTCTATCAGCAAATTGCTCAGCTTTCAGGTGGGATGTTTACAATGTTGATATGGGTTTCTGGTAGGTACAATATGCAAAGAGGTTTGTTAAATACCAGAAAAAGCAAGCCCCATCTAAACAGTGTTTTGCATTCCAAAAAAAAAAAAAAAAAAACAACCAAACTATTTTAGTTTTTGGTTCTTTAAAACCAGGCAGAGAGGGATTGGACTGCTTTTTCAGACTGGATATTTGGGTTTGGGGATGGGAAACATTTTCTGAAGCTCTGACCCCCCCGTCTTTTCTTCTTCCTTCAGAAATGCCTCAGAAAGTAGATTTGTTGTGTGGAGAAAAGCCAGGGATCTGAGCAGACCCAGTGTGGGTCGGTGGTGGTGCCCAGGCTGGGTCGCTGCGGGGTATCTCTCGGCTGGGGGACGGGGCAACCTGAGCCCCACCAGCTTTTAGGGGGGACCTCAGAGATCTTGAGAGAATTTTGTCAGTTTTCAAAATGAACCTCGGGCCCCCCGTTGCAAAAATTTTGCTGGAAAAGGTTTGCCATGGGTCCCAGGTGTTAATGCTGCTGGTTCATTCCAGGGATGAACCTCCTAATGGATGGGGAGAGCAGCAAGTGACAGCCTGTGGCTTTTCTTTGACCATTGGGAAACCTGTCATTCCTAAAAACCTATTGTATTTGCCATTCCTTTTATCAACTGCTGTTATGGTTGGGATGTTCCAGCATTGCATGTTTAAGAAGAGTTTCAATATAAGGATGGGCATGAGAATTTCATGAGCATCCTGCCCAGAGGGGAGAAGGTGCCTCTCCCAGGTCTGCTGCAGGCACAGAGGGTCGCTGGCTCTTTCCGCTCTTGGAATCTTGGTTTTTTTCATATTTTTAAGTGAATCAACAAGTAAGAGCACTGTTTGACACCCAAATGACTCTCTTTCTTTTATTTTTAAGATGTTAGCAGGAGTTAGAGCCAGGAAACTGGAGAGAAAGGGAGAAAGAAAATATGTCTATGATGTGTTTTCGGTCAGTGTCCAGGCCTCCTGAAGAAAATGTGTGTGAAGTGTTGTTGAACGGATGGGGGAATAATTGAAATTAAGGTGAGGGCTGTCTTAAACAGACCAGGCTAGCAAAAAATATTGATTATTGGCAGCAAACTTTTGAGTTAGAGCAAAATAGTACCAGTACATTTGAGATCAACTTAATAATGATAAATCTTCCTTTTAATTTCATCAACTTTCATTTAACAAAACAACATTCCTCTGGAGGTAAATCAAAGCAGGGTTTTAGCCCCTGCTGTGACGGTTATTGAATCCCGGTGTTGGAGGGGGCAGTGCGAGAGTTGTCCTCCATTTGCATCCTAATTATGATTTATTCAGAGGCCATTAGTGGGATTTTCCTAGCAGGCAGGTGTTCTCTTGATGAAAAATACATCCTGCCTCCTCAGGAGGACGCAGACATTGCCCACTTGAGCACCTGCTTGAATTCTTAGGACAATACAAGCCCCTCAAGAGCCTGCGGGTAGAAGAGTGTGGATGTATTTCTGGAGGATCCATTTTCACAATGACAAAAGGGGGTAAAAGCTTGAGCTAGTTAACCACACTTCTCTGATAAAACTGAACCAACAGTGAGCATTGTGCAGTCTGAAAGCTTGCCAGCACCACTCGAGGTGTATGCAAAAAATTTTTAATTGTTTTACGTGGCACACAAAATCATCCTTCTGAAGGGTGATGAGTTTAGGTATAACCAACTGGCCCTGGCTCTGGATATAGTAAACCAAGAAGGATTTTTTGACTGAAATCGTTCAATTCAGGCTGGATATTCAATTTCAGGCTGGATATTAGGAAAAATTTTTTCACTGAAAGGGTTCTCAGCCATTGGAATGGGCTGCCCAGGGAGGTGGTTGAGGCACCATCCCTGGAGGTGTTCAAAAGACGGGTTGATGTAGTGCTGGGAGGGATGGTTTAGTGATGATGCTCCTTGTTTGTTGTGTGGGTGTCTATTTTTGTCAGTTAGGTTGACGGTTGGACAAGATGATCTTTAAGGTCCCTTCCAACCTAGAAGATTCTGTGATTCTGTGACTCTGTGAATTCTCTCTCATGAAAGAAAACTTTCCTTGGTGCTAGAGGAGGGGGGGGAAAAAAAGAAAAAAAAAAAAAAAGATAGTATTTATTTCAGTTGAGCTTTTCGGGTGGCCAGTCTACCTGTTTCTTACTTCCAAAGCCGTGCTCGCAGTGTGTGGCCAAGGTGTGGGACTTGTGGACTTGTGCTGCTGTGGATGGTGTAGGGAATCTGTGTGCACCAAGGAGCACCACAGAAATCTGCAGGTGTGGAAAGTGGTGTGTCCCAGGGGGGGGAATTACAGGGGGAAACCCAAAATATTTCTGTTTTCTGTCCGTGCGGAAGCTTAAGAGCAGGTATAAGGGACTTTGGTGGGAGGTAAAGAACAAATCCCCTATTCCGGAGGGCTGTGGGTCAGTGTAGCTGGAGAAATACTTTGAATTAATCCAACTCTGTACCCACTTCGCCATGGTTTGCTCACAGCCCCCAGGCTTAGGCATTCTGTTTTTTCAACGCCGTCTTCCTTTACCGCAGTGAACACGTACAAGCAATTAATGTGGAGTGGCAATTGCTCTTTGCTTTTAAGTATTTATTTAAGGAGATTGAGTTTTTTTGAGGTTTTGTTGTTGGGTTGTTGCTTTTTTCTCTCTCTCCTGACCCTAGTCATTTTACCCCCATACTTTCATAAAAAAGGAAAAAAAAAAAAAAGAAAAAAAAAGGGTCTGGAATCCGATCAGAGGGAAGGCAGTTAAGGGTTTCCCATGCGTGTACATACTGTTTTAGGGAGAAAGCCCACCATCTGTTAAAGCTCTCTTTTCTTTCCAGAATTCCTGCCTGATTCTGACACACGCTGAAAATCTGTATCGGAATGCAAAATTTTCACTTTTAGATGTTTGTAAGTCTTAATACAGTACTGCAGATGGTATCCTAAAAGATCAAAGGCAGTGTTTATAACTGCTACGTGGTGTTGATGTTATTTTTAATATTTCAACCATTTCAGCATACATTTGGTCGTTACTTTTCTAAAATCTTCTTTTCTTGAGTAATCGATATAAGATGTTTGCATGATGGAAAGTAATTTAAGTTCACTTTTTAAAAAGATGTGATTGATACTGTAGGTTATGTTTGTTTAACAGATTAACATTTTCACTGATGGGTGGCAGTTTTTTTCCTTTTAGTGCTTTTGATAGAAGAACGTGTAGGACGTTTTCCAACAGAAACACATTTTTTAACCTTTGCATCCAGTAGTGGAAGTAGTATTTGAAAAATAATTGTTTTCCAGTATACTTTGGCCATCTGGGTAACAATATGCAAGTACGTCTGTCACGTACAAGATATGATTTTAAAAGAAATAAATCCCGTTTTGATGAAAGTAATCAAGAAATTAATCTAGCAAGGTCAAAACCCTTTCTGAACGAAAATTTTGGGTGTCTAGAAGTGTTGAAGCACTTAATCTCCCACCAGATTTTGGGGCCAAATCATACAAATTTTGTATTTGCAAATTAACAAAAGGCAACCAAAGTTTTTTTACTTCACATAACACTGAAAAATTTGGTCAGCTTACATCCTGTCCTATGAAGTTTGACTCCTGGCCTGGGACCTCGAGGCCCTGCACCTGTGACAGGTGAATAATAGAATCATAGAGTGGTTTATGTTGAAAGAGACCTTTAAGATCATCAAGTCCAAATGTGAACCTAACACTGCCAAGTCCACCACTAAACCATGTCCCTCAGCACTACAGCTACATGTCTTTTAAATACCTCCAGGGATGGTGCCTCAACCACCTCCCTGGGCAGCCCATTCCAATGTCTGAGAACCCTTTCAGTGAAGAGATTTTTCCTAATATCCAGCCTGAACCTCCCCTGGCGCAACTTGAGGCCATTTCCTCTTGTCCTGTCACCTGTGACTTGGGAGCAGAGACCGACCCCCACCTCTCTACACCCTCCTTTCAGGTTGTTGTAGAGAGTGATAAGGTCTTCC